CATGGTAAGATATTATAGTATTTTGGCACTTGTGTATAAAGTTAAAATCATAAATAATATTCAATGTTCAACTGGTACACAATTAAAAACATTTTATTTAGGCCTATCTATGGCCTTCAGAAAGTTGACAGCTCTACATTACAACATCATCCTCAGGAAACATGTAGAGTCTTCAACTTTTTGAAGGCCATAGATAGGCCTAAATAAAATGTTTTTAATTGTGTACCAGTTGAACATTGAATATTATTTATGATGATAAGAGATTGTTTTATAAACTGCTCTTTGCATAAAAAAAAAGAGAGAAAAATTAAGAGCATGTGTAGCAATCAGTTCTACTATAAAATTACAAAAATGTCAAACAAAACTCAATGACATATCATGACCAGTGAATAAATGGAAGTACCAATTTTTTTTCCCTTTAGCCCAGTGTTTGAAAATGTCATTCATTGAAGTTGTTTGTCTTAGGATTGGGAAGTATATCGCATGTAGTTCAGTCTCTGTGCTAAATCTAGTCACAGAGTGGCCAGTCAATTGTAATGGAGGACTATAAGCCGTATCTTCTTTGGTATTTAAAAAAGAACTAATACATAATTTTTGTCACTTATGATCCAAAAAAGGAGACTTACGTTATATCAGCATTAGTGTGTAATCCAAACACCTCAGGAGAATCTGTAGATGGCAAGTCGTTAATAAAATCCAGATACTGCTGCGTAGTGTTACAACTGGGCACAGAGTAATTATTAAAGAACTCAAAATCTGGCTGAAAAAGTTGTTCTCCAAACCACACATCTGTATATGTATTCAACAGACGGTTGTCAAAGTCATCAGTGACTCGTCCACCATACTGAACCTCTCCCAGCATGTATGAAATAGTTTTCCAGCACACCCCCTGTAATTATTTACAATATACAAAGGGTATTAACTCATTTCTCATAATCCACACATACTTTTCAAAACTGAAACCTCAAATAGTATTCAGCTAAATACACGTATTTTGTTAACATTTTGAGATAGACATCCACAACTAGATTTTTCTGTTACTATCATGTTGGTAATTTTGTAGCTAAATTTTGAATTTTAGATGTGTAAAAAAATTACTTAGGTTTGTATAATGCAGAATATAAAAAAAAAAATATTCCACGTTAACAAACGTTATTTAAAAATTATTATTATTTATTACCCAAATGAAAAATGGTAGCCTCAGAAAGGAATTGGAAAACAAAAAAATTAGTTATATACTGCATTGATGTAAATAGCACACCACACAAGTTCCATCAGTTTTTAATTACTTTAAATGTATAACAAGACCCTTTCATTTTATATTAAGTTTTACAACCATAAAAAAAGTATATAATGGCTAACCCTTTTGGGATCCAAATCATCTAAGAATTTTTGAAGGAACTGCACAGATGCTGAAAAATCAGCCTGGTTGAACTCGTAGGGAATGTTCCATCCAAGAGGCCCAAACTTGCGTCGTTCCTGAACTATGGTATGGAGAAATGCAACAGCAAACAGAAGTGGCTGCCACTGAGGTAATGTGCTATACTCAAGTGTATCCTGAGGCAAACTTGCATATGTTCGCTTTAAGCTGGCTTTTATTCCTTGAGGTGGCTCATTAGTGAACTTGATTGACAGCTATGATGTGAAGTAAAAGTTTATGAAATGCAAGAGAGTTACTATAAATTATATTGTCAATAGAATTCTGCTGTCATGATACAGTATTTTATTACGTTTTAAACAATTCCTTTTTTTATATTCAGGATCAATTAAATATCACTTTTTATGTCAAATGATTAAATTCTATTGCAATTAATATTAACTTCTGATCAATTCAAGCTACCTACATAGACCAGAACTAAAGATTATGCTCAATAATGAACATTACTAATTAGATACAGTTCAAAGAATCTTACTTATAATGATTGGATTGCATTGCTCCATCAGTTGAGTACTTTCACTGTTAACAATATTTGCTCCCAGACAGTGTAACAAAAGCAGTATTCTTTTTATTACATAATGGGGATGGGCTAAAGTCCACCAAGTCTTGTTTAAAGTACAATACACTCACCTGTAACAAACCAATAGGAAATTGTGGGTGAACTTCCGTAGTTATCCAGAGCCGGAAAGATTCATGCATGCTTTCAGTTTCCATTACTGCATCAAGAGCTTCTTCACAAAACTGTAAGCTTAGGTGACAGTTCTGAAGGAGAACCCATCCACCTACATTCATAGACTGGTTTAGTAATCTTCTTGCATGAAACTCCTGCCCTTGGCCCATAGAAATTGCTCTACACTCTGATAAAAAAAACAATAAAATCTTACATAATCATTCATCTTGAAATCAGCCAACTTAAAACTGTTTAAAGAAAAAAATCAACATTCTTATATAAAAATATAAGTAAGTAAATATTTCAGTATAATTCAAGTAAACTTTACTGAGACTAAACCTGACATTCTATAATTATATCTGGGGAATATTTTAAATTAAGATTGTTGAGAAAAAAACATCTTTAATTTCATACCATACATTCCCTTCATTCCTGCCCTATCTTTATTTTCATTCTTGTGATAATTACTAGATAACATATTTTGGTATTAGTTCTTCAAAAACTTCTTAACTTGTACCATGATCTACCATAATACTTTGAATATTTAATCACTTTACAAAAGTTAAAATCCCTGAATCCGTTGTTGCAATTCAGTTGAAGTGCAATAATTTCCAAAAGTAGATGGCACGTCAAACTAACCCTTGTGCAAGACACAAAATGTTAATATACTGGAGAATATCTGTAGTTTGGAAGAATTGAGTAAAGCAAAGAAAAACATGATTCCAGAAGAATACTCCATGAGGGCTACTAGTCACACACACTGGAGGTATAGAATACATAAACAAAGAACACAGTGTCTGTTTGAATTAAAGTAGGAACTACCCATGGAACTGTAAAAATTCATGCAAGTTGAGTTCACAGTTTCTCCATTTCCAACTGTGGAAGGCTGTATGAGCAGAAACTTACTTACATCAAAAGTAAGTAAGACATGATACTGGACAAAGCATATGTCTACTTAAGGGCCAACAAAATTCCTTGAATTTAAAAAATGGTACAAAGCATGACAGAATGTTTCTTCAAAGGGTTTATGGTTGTTGCAGATTACAGCTATAATGGAAAGTTAAACATCTGGATAGTTAAAAAAAATGCCTATTCAAACTCTGCATACTATCAGGCAAATGTCCAACTTTCTACAGGCTAGATGCTGGTAAGGTCTAATTCCATCAACAAAAAGCATCTAGGCTTATATCTAAATCAACATACCAGTATCTCTGCAATAGTTACATACAAACAGGAATTGATATCATCCCATTTGCAGACATCTTCCCATGAACTTTTGTGGCTCTTGGTTCCTCAAACAGGCTCCAGGAGAAATTGTTGTCTGCATACAGTTGATGAACTTTGGAAAGCATGTACAGTGAAAGAGGACAGCATTAGTTTTAGTATATTGTGCAAAAGCTTCCTGTGGTAGAAATTTCATCTAAGTCCATAACCATCACACAGAACACCACTTGCAGTAGAAGAAGAGGCTGTAACTTCTAGGCATTCATCCTTGTATCATAGATCATGGATGCTTCTTTGTATATAGTCTTATGTCCTAAAATGTTTGAACATCATAAATATCTAAGGTAACAATATAGGGGTGCACACATTTTCAGAGCTATTAGTATATCAAATTTACCATACCCATACCCAATTTGTACTTCTTTGCTAGTGCTTCAATCTGTGCAGAAGGATCAGCTCCCATAGACAGGAAGCAAATCAGAGGAGTACGACAATCAGATTCTTGCCAAGTGGCTTCTAAGTCAAGTATAACCCCTTCAGAATATTCCTCTCCAAGTGATTCTGAAAACAAAATTAACATTCATTGATACTTGTAGTTTAGCATAAGACATTATCTAAATGACCTCCAGTACTATATTTTTATTAATTTTGTTACACCATCATTGTTTAGAAATATTTGCCTTTTTTTTTATTTTGCATTGACCATTGTTTACATAATTTAGCTAACCAGAACTAAACAGCTGGTGGGAAAAGCTGATGCATGGAACATGTTGTTATTGTTTTAAGTTTAAATAAATTACACAACGTAAACTTCAAAAAGTGTTGTTAAAAAAGGGATATTATGATTTGGGGAAAAACAAGATAACATAATGAAATAGCTTGAAGGTCAGGTATAAAGTATCTCTCAGAAACTTTATCTGTATATGCTTTTAAACTTCTATTTTTCAATGTACAGATATAACAACTTTAATAATTATAATACATATGCTACATGTCATACTTCCTTTGTTTTAGGTAAATAGGTAAAAGCCACATGGAGTGAGACTTAGGCATCTTAATTACCTGATATGTACTTCCTAGCTTGAGACAGAGTTCTGTCTGGACACCATGACCTTATCAAAAGTAACTTTCCAAATATATCCAGCTGACGCTCATAGTCATCTGGGGAAGGCTCTCCTTCTGGCATATCAGTGTCCAGCCAGGATTTCCATCCTTTCTCATTGCTTGACACCTAGATTACTCAAATATTAATCATGCTTTTAAACAATTCTAAAAACCAGAGTTCCACAGAGAGACTACTGTTCTAGTAAACATAAGTCACATCTATTTGCTTTTAAAACTGGTATATTTGTCATTCTTAACCTATCATGATCTACAACAGATCTCAAGTATACTAGTCACAGAAAATCTGAAACAACATGAAATGTAAAATACATGCTTATATTCTTTTATTTTTAATTATAAATGTTTGGTAACGTGGTGACTTCTGATTTTAACAGTTGAGACAAATATCATAGAAACAAAAAGGAAATCTAAGAATACTCTCATTAATTCTTGGTATATGAGCTCGGTCATTCTGACTGACCTTTTAACCATTATGTAACCATAAAACTATACATACAGGGTAGTCCAAAATTATCTTTCCTATTTTAAAATTTAATAATTAACTAAGGAAATATAACCATGCAAATTTCAACATCTTGTAGCCAAACTCAAAATGCCAGTAGACTTTTACGTGTGCACAATTAATGGCTTTCAGTATGGTTATCTGATATTTGATTTCAGTCCATGTTTGCTGCAACACCACCACAGTTAAGATGGTGATGACGTCCATTATCCTGGTCTTTAGCACCATGATGTTTGCTATAGATGTGTAATACAGATATCCTTAACATACCCCAATACTTCTGTCCTGTACTGGTGTCTGTAATTATGCTGCACCACAGTTACTGACTTGGTCTTTACTAGCCAAATGATGTATTGAGACTTTTCTGGCACAATTGCCATTTTACAGGGTAACACTATTCACTGGAGTGAAAAACAACATGACAATAAAAATTGTTAGAGTTGGGCTACAAGATGTTAAAAACTGCATGATTGTATTTCTTTAGTTATTTATTTATTAAATTTTAAAATAGGAAAGATAACTTTGGACCATCCTGTACTATAACTCAGTATAGAAAATGTATCTTCACAAACTTTAACAAGCTTTTGGCAAACATTAAAATTGTTTTGTACACAAAAATTCAGTTTTTTTTTTAACAAAGTAGTTTTACTTAAATATTTGTCTGTGAATTTATGGAGTCATAGTTTAAATGCAAGGTTATTTTCATCTTAAGATTAAAATTACTTTTTTCATCTTACAGTACTCAGCTTTTTTATTTGCATAACATCTAAAACCTTCTAAATGAATATCAAAAGTATTTTTCAATAAAACTGTTTTATGTTATTTTCTCTACCACAACACTATATGGGCATGGCATATTTTACTGACCTTGTAATCACCACAAAAAGTATAAAAAAAATTTAATTTACCTTTTTTTTCTTTTTAGAACGACTGCATATTGTAACAGAAATTTTAATTTTTTTTTATCCTAAATAGCCTCAGGCTCATAAATTTGTTTTTGTTTACCATATCTAACTAAACATGCATACCAGTGCAATAAACACCTGGCAATGAAATAGCCCAAGTTATGTGAAACAAAGTATTGAATTACATGTGTGCACATCTCTAATAGGGGTGGAAACATTATCTAAAATGTGATACAAAAAAATGAGGACTGAGAATTTATCTAAGTTTTCCTTTTGATATTAAGAAATGAAAACTTCTATAATATTAAAATTTGATTTGTTAGCTACATTTTGATGCTAAGTTTACTGACATATACTAATAATAAAGTAGTTTAATTAAATTTTGAATGTAGTTCTGTAAAAAGGTTGTGAAGTGCACTTTTACCTACCCATATTCAGAGGGTTAATAGCACAAAAACATTACATAAAATTACACACACACACACACACACACATATATATATATATATATACATATGTATGTATGTGAAAAATTATTCTATAATAAAAATATAATTCATACTTAAAAACAGAAAGATGATATACAACATTGTCAAGAGGAGAGTAATTTCCTGTTTAATAGAGTAGGATTACAATTTTCATGATATTCAAAATACAACTCCTCACCTGATTCAAAATGTGTTCAAACTCGGGAAGGTTACTCAACTGTACTAGGTTGAGCCAAGTAATGTCTAGAATCCACTTGAAAGGTTTAGAAGGAACAGCTTTCAAATCCAAAGAAGCTCCTCCTAAATTGAATTGTGAAAATGCATCAGTCACATAATCTTGTACAAGGTTGAAGCTGCAATAAATCTTATTAGATAAAGATTGCAACCATTTCACAGAAATAAACACTCAAAGCACAAGATTTGCAAACAATATTGTATAATGCAAGAATCCAAAACAACTTTCCTCAAAACACTTACAGTACAATACCAATGTATAAACAGCTATATTATACACAATGTACTATAAAAATAATTTTAAACAGCATAAAATTATCTCACAGAAATCATAATATATTTTTTCTTGCAAAAATTTCCAAACAGGATTGTGTTCATTTTTGTTTCAAAATAAACGGGTTTCCAAATTTTAATGATACATCTTCGCACTTGAGGTTTCATTTTTCTAGATCATTAAGTATATAAAAACAATGTAAGTTAGAATGACTTCACTTTTGGTTATGAAATTACTTTTTGGGCCAGAGAGACATGTTGGCATGCCAAGTTTCATCAATCTAATTAAGTATTAGTTATGAATTATGGGACATCAAGGGGCATTTTGGCCCATCAAAGATGTACTTGTTTCCAGCCTCCTTAAACAAACAGAAAACAATCACAAAATCCAGCCTATATCCCTCAAATATTCATTGTTTCACAGATTTACCACCCATATGGAGAAATAAAACTTGCCTCAATGTGAGATGTGTCTGATCCTTTACAAATCTTAAGTCTGTGACTTTTTGTCCAATTGCTCTCAGAATTCAACAGGAAAACATCTGATGAACCAATGTTATCAATACCCTTAATTATTTTCAATACTTCATTTCGAATCCTGATCCTTCTTTTCTTCAAGCAAGAACAAGTTAATGTATCTTAACCTATCCTCATATGACAACCCATCCATCCCCAGAATCACATTAGTGAAAGTCCTTTGAACTTCTTCTTCCAACAACTGAATGCCCTTCCTAAAATAAGGGAACCAAAAATTGCACAGAACACACCAAATGAGGCCTAACTAGTAACTTATAAACCAAAACTACAAAAGACATAAGTCTGCATATTTATGTTTTATCTATTTACAAGTAAAAAACCCTAATAATACTTCACCATATCGGAAAGTTAATTACCAGTGAAAATACAATGGAATTTTCCAAACATTAAACCTTACCTTTTATAAAAGTAATAAACTGGTGATGTGAGATTCTCTTACTCTGAAGATCAATCTTCAAAGCTAATAAAAGTGTGAATAGAAACTTGTGTCTTTCATAAAATCCTCGCACTGCATACTTATACACTTCATAGGTTAAGTACTGAATGATGTTGGCAATTCTTTGAGATGTGTATTTGCTTGGAGAAGACCTAATAGGAGGCAGAAGTTTTTTTAACAAAATAATTAATTGAATTTATAGTAAAATTTTAAGTTTTGCCTATTTAAATGGAGCAAACACCTTTATCAACAAAGGTAACTGAAGGATTGTTAGTAACCCCCCCCCCCCAAAATAAAGATCAAAAATTAGTAGGTGTAAAAAATATCAGTTTTAATCGAATGACCTTTAATAGAAAGAACAATTAAGTATATACTTTGAAATAGAGAGATCAAACAATCCAAGGAACTGTCGTAGTGATGTCTGATACATAACATTCACTACACTCATTTCTACAATCAAGAAGTACAGAATGCTCCCTCTAGTGGCAACTGGCCGAAACTCTTCTCTGGCAGCACTAATCTTCTGTTGGGTGTTAGCAGCTACCTGCAGTTTTTGATTTACTTGTAACGCTGTTGCTTTCATGTCTTTTAAAACTGTAATAAGGTCTTCATCATCAACAAGTGAACCCTGTAGGAAAATGTAAAACGTTTTTCATACAGAAAAAGAAAATTCACAAAAACTATAAAGAAAGATAATATACTAGAGCTTTTTCAACAACATTGTTACATTCTCTCTCTCTTACCTAACTTACAAATAGACTTGGAAAGATAAAAATTTCATTCTAATATTTTAAATGTAAGCAGTCATAAAACTTTTCAATATTTTTATAAGGTTAAACTGTTTAAGTATTATTTTAAAGCAGAATAATTGAACAATAAGTATGTCAAAGTTTGTATTTAGTCTTGTATTCCAACTAAATACTTCCATCTCAATTTTCTTTTCACTCATTAGAACTGGCAGAAAGTATTGATTCTTTACACTAACTTAGAGAAAGTTATTTTATAGTTGCATGTTATTTCAAACTAAAACTCACAGTTCTATACTTAATTCTGTGACATCATCTGTAGAGGAAAATTTACCAGCTAACACTATTTTTATGTAATAATGTGGTATTTACTTATTTCTATGCTCATAATCAGAGGACAACTTATGTCCAACTCAAACAGTTCATACTAAATAACACTTACTTCTGTGCTTGTCAACCGTAGGAGGAGATTATCTTCTAGTTCCTTTATATTTCTCTTATTTTCCATAACTTCTTCTAATAGCTCCACCCTTTCACTCTCCAGCTCCTAAAGTTTTTTTTTTTACTATTTTTATTAGTTACACAATATAAAACAGTCTACTGCTAAGATAACATTAATCATGTAACAATGCTTGTAATGGTAAAAAGACTTCTCAGTATACAAAATGTGTATAATATTTAACTAAAGCATAAAACTAATCTTACAGCTTTCTCAGTTAAAATTACTCTTCCAAGCAGCTGGTTCTCCAGTCCTTTCATTGTGACAGTGAAGTCAATAATTGCTGTTCTAGCACTGATTTCAGGCACGTATACAGGATTTGGAAGTTTGGTGGTTACATAAAGCATAAACCCTGGCATGATATCACATTCCTTGTCTCCCACCATAACCTAACAAATAAATGTTTAGATATTATTTTAAGTAGTTCTGTATTATTAGTATTCTTATTAATCTATGATTTTTGCATTATGTGGTATTTGTAGGTGATTACATGGTAAAATTACATGGTTTTACTGCTCCAACAAAGTGATATATAAAAGTAATTATAATATTTAACTTAAAAGAGTGAAATAAGAAAAATACAGTTTAAATTCATGCTTCAAGTTATAATCTAATTCAGGCTATCTCCATAAATTAATTATCACTTCAATTTTCAAATATTTGTAAACTTTAATATTTTTCACATTGCAATTTTATTTTACTCTTCTTGCATGAAACTCACTTTAAAACTGATTTAGTCATATTTCAGCCTAAATTCAACAACATATTTAATGTTTTTTCTCAACATTTTTTTCTTAGTAGTTATGTATATTTTCTCATATAATAATAAAAACTAAATCTGTAATTTATCTTATATTTAGTTTAAAGACAAGCAGTCATGTTTAATTTTCCTTCGTATGTATATATTGGTATTGTGAAAAAAATTGAGATTATAATATGAAAATTGTTTTCTTAATCAAATTAAAACCATACTACATGTTACAAAGTTTAATGTATAGAGGATATTTATTATTACCTATCCATATGCATGTGTACATGCACAGCTTTTTATGAATGAGCTAGCAAAAACCACATAGAAAAGAACTGTGAGCGTCATAGCTTCAAGAAGAAAGAACCTAGAAACCTGAAATTTTGCTTCTACACTAAATAGACCCTGAGGGTGTGCACCTGTGTATTACTTATCTTATCCACATACGTGCATGTGTGTGCATCTTTTTAATGAGGCAAGCTAGCAAAAACTACATAGAAAAGAAGCGGTTCCATATATTACAAACAGAAATCATAGACAAACCAGCACGTGCATGTCTGTGTGACCACCATAGTTTCAAGAGGAAAGAACCTAGAAACCCGACATTTTGCACCCATACTAATGGACCCTGAGGGTGTGCACCTGGGTATTACTTATTCACATGTGTGTGCACATGCACATCTTTTAAATGAGGCAAGCTAGGAAAACCACATAGAAAAGAAGTGGTTCCTTATATAACAACTTCTAATATATAGAAAAGCCAGTGTGCTTTGGTAACAAAGCATTCCAACAATGGCTTTTATGTCATGTTGCTTAGCAATAAAAGTATAACCTAATAATATTGTTATTCTATGTACTGAAAGTATAAAATGAAATGTATAAACTACAAAAACTGGAAAAAAATATTTGTAAATTTCTTAATTCAGAATCTTCGTTGGTTAAATAGGTTTGTTTTTCTCTGTTATAACAGAAAACAGCTTAATTCGGAAATGATTTAAGTTTAAAACTGGATCAATATTTTTACTTTCATGATAAATGTTATGCACTTGCTAAAATATATCAACCTAATAATCTGTGCGAAGCCGAGTACTTTTGCTAGTAGATATATATATATATGTATATAGACACAAACATACACACAGCTAGACTCTTTGCACATTGTAAAAAAAAACACCTTTTTAGTAGAGCCTGATTTTATGAAATTTTTCTCCAAGATATTATCCAGAACAGGATCCAGCTCTTCACCAACATCCTCTATAAGTAAAGGTCTTCCTAATGATAGGCTGTCCTCTAAGTGTTGACGAAAATATTTGTGGTTTAAGGATGTTATCTGTTACAGGGGAAAAAACATACAAACTCATTTTATCAATTCACTAAATTAAAAAAATCATAATTAGCTCATTTGGTTAATGATATTACCAGTTAATTAGATTAGAGATTCATAATATTTTATAATTCTCAATCTTTTTATTTCTTAATAGCTTTCATCAGTGATTTATAATTACTAATGTATGCCACAATGCTTATACTTGATTAGGTAAGGTAATACAGTAAAAGAAAAAGGAAATACCTGAAGTTCATTTGCTATTTCTCTGTTCTTTATCCACTGTTTACCTTGACCTTGTGGGTCAATCAAGAGTGGATAGCATGAAGCTTTAGTAACTATGATGCCATTTTGTACTGACAGCTCATCACTAGGCAGACCTTGGAGGTTCCACTCAGCTATCTAAAACCAAACCTTATTAATGCAGGGGTACTATCCAGAAAACAAATAAAATATATTAAAATAATATTTTGATGATGGAACTAGACTTAATAGAAACAAATATTCTTTTAATTATCAACATTGTCAAAATTAAAAAGCTTCTAATTTAAAAAATGACCAGTAACTTTGATTCTGTGAAGTTTTATTTATCAAAATATCTGAACTGTACACCATATGAAATAAATCAAATTTACTTATATCTCTTACATAAAAATACTTTTTAGTGTCATTGACAGAAGAGTAAAACATATTCTATTTATAGTACTTTTTTTAGTTATTTTATATTCTTAACATCTCCTTTTATGGCACTATAACCCTCTAATGTAAATTGAAATTAGAATATTTCAGTTATATATTCAGGTAAAAAACATACTGTCGTATTAACATTCTGCATGATTTCTTTCTTTAAAACTAAAAATGTTTTCTTTGCAGTTGCTAAATTGATGATAAAAAGTTTTACAGCCAGATCTAATAAGATTATTTCTCCCCACTTAACTACTACGGACAAAAATAAAGGTACTTCTCATTAGGGTTCTACAAACCAATACACACACACACACACACATATATATATATATATATATATACACACATACATATTGTTTTGTAGAACCCTAATGAGAAAAAATATATATATATATATATCTTGTTCATAATATACACCATAAGTAGCAGGGGAAACTCTCCTTCTAACAAGGCATTTTAAAATGTCTGGGATTTACACTTTCAAACTTTGTATAAACAAACAATTACATACTGTTGCATTGTCCACCAACATGTCACAGATATCTAGATTCTCAGACAAAGGAATCTTCCTTCGCTGGAGTTCCTCTTGCCAATTGTTGAAAAGAAGAGAACGGAACTCTTGGTTGAAAGGACCAGAATAAGACAAAAATCCAGTTGCAAGAAGTGCATCTCCAACAAGTCTGTGAATATAATTTAACTTTAGCTCTTTTACATGGTTAGTGATTAATATTTGTTCAGTCACATGTATTTTAAGAAGATACATAATAAGTAATACGTAATCATGGATAACATATTAATAACTTTTTTCTATAGATAAAAACAAAGTGTTTGATCAAATAATAACTAAAATTTTACAACTTTACACTATCTATACTGGAAATAAATATTTTCTTTTCCATTGTTGCATTTTTATAATCATAATACTATAGAAAAAGCATAGCATGATAATTATATTATGCAAGAAACATTTATTAGCCTTAAAATATCAATCACAAAGAGCAAATGGAGGTTAACATTTTTTACTTTCTATGAAACAATACAATGTTTCAAGAGGAAAAACACCTTGCATATAATAATAAAAATTCGTTTATTAAAAGCACTTTAAAACTGATAATTTAATCTCAAATTACTTACATCACTAATAATGTATTATATGTATTAAAGGACTATACCTCCATAAGAAAAAAAAATCAATTTTCTTTTCTTCTGAAACTAATGAAAGAGGTAAAACATTTTTTTTGGCAATACCTTCCCACTTGTGCCTTGAACTGTCTACTTTGTTCTGTCCATCTTTTATACTCCCCTTCCAGTTCTGTAATTAGTGTTGCTGCACGACACATCTTTGTACGACAAACTGTTGCCTGATCCACTAATCTCTAGGATAAGTATGCTACAATCAATATAGCTCTATTTTGTTGTTATGAAATATAGCTCTAATGTACGTCATGCATGTTAACATGAATTCAATGGGAAAAAATCAGTAAACTTTAAAACTCTTCTCATCTGTTTGCTTTTAGTGGTATAATTATGTTTTGAAATATTTAAATTAGTGTTACGTATCTGCTTGTTTAATAATTTCCCGTAAAAATTCTTTCCGAGAAACTTCAGCGATACAAGTCCTTTCTTAATCAAAACTAGTTTATTATTTCTCAATACAACATTATAATACACAGAATTTTCACAGTCACTTTAACTTAAACACACGCTATAAATCACAATTATTCACGCACTTTACTTACGGTCACTACCGCTCACTTGACTCAATTATCTGTCTCTATCTCTCTTTATCTGCCATTATATCTTTGCTTTATTTGCTAGGCTTATATACTAAAATAGAGGGCGCCTAGAAAAGACTAGAATTACCAGGAACAGTCAGGATCCTTCTAGAAACTCCAGCGCACATGCTTCCAGTGTCGCGTGACTTCCACTATCGTAACAATAGTAATAATTATGCTAATATATTTAATTTACAATTTATAAGCCATGCAGCATCAAAGTATGTTTGTGTCAAGCACTTTTAAACATAATGAAAAATTCAGTTACCTAAATGTAAATTTCACAAACAATCTTTTCGTTGAATTAAATAACTATTGTTTTAATTGTCTACATAAATACTGTTTACATACAGCAAAAAATTCCTACATATAATAAAGACTTATACAAAAAAAACTGAAAATTAATTAATTCATACACTTGTAATCATACTTTACCTGCTTTTCCATCATGGCAGCCTCATACTGTGTTTTCACCTCATTCAGTTCCTGTTCTTTCTCGTCTAGTTCTGCCTGTACTTTGTTTAGCTCGTCCATGGCCACAGAGAGTCGAGCTTCTTGAACAGCTAGATTTGCCTGATAGAAAAATTGGGAACTCACTTTACAAACATAAAAAATGAATTCAGATACCTGTAAATAATTACTTAACAACAGATAATTATTGTACCAGAAACTATCATTATATACAAAGACAAGAAGGAGTATTCACATAAATGTCACAAAAGTATGAGAATAATGAGATAAATGGTTAATATATGTGTTTACCTTCAAACTGTTCTCATCATTATGTTCAATATTTGATAATAAGTAAAATTTCTGTCTGTATCTGAAAAATTCTCACACTTGATATACCTGTTATTTAAATATTTAGAAAATTGTTAATTATAGATTTAAAATGTAAGTCCTGTTCTTTCCCTTAAACTAGCAATTCTTTATATTTGTTTTTTGGTGTACTTTAAATATTTTATAAGAAAGTAACAAAAACTAGATGCAGAAAAATGTGTATTTACTAAACCCATGTCCAATGTAGAGTCTGAAATATGTTGTAGAAGATTTGGAGAATGATAATATTTTCTTCTTGTTAAAACATGATGAATTCAAGTTCTTGTTCATGCTAATCTCTTAGCATAAGAAACTGATCATTCACTTAAAGAAAGAGAAGTAATTTGTGCAAATTAATTAAAAAACAGTAATGGCATATCACATAATAATCCAAAAATCAATAAAGAATTGATATTAGTCAAAAAACACTAGTTATGACAGGCAGTTTGTGATTCTCAACAGAGAAGTAAAACTGTTTTCAGCTTTTGTATGTTCAAGTTCAAAATGATCCAGAAGGTGCAAAGCTCACTAACAGTAGTAGAGTGCAAAAACTAATTAGAAGAAAACAACTTCCAAATAGGGTTGAGTTTAAACCCCTTTTCATTACTGAGCATGTTCTACCTAATTGAGAATGTTTCTATTGATTCTCTTGTGTTGTGTTAATGGAATCATTTTGGTTTAGCAATGATCAAAATAAATTTCGTAGTTGGTTGTGTGAGCAAGTAATGATAAAGTCAATTTTTTAAGTTTCAATGACAGTAGCCTTCATGCTCCTTTACTCTAATTAAAAGAACTAGTTTTGTTTGACCAATATAATCACAATTAGAAGAACAAGGAATGGAAAAAATACCCTGTTTTTAGTGTGATCTTATCTTTCCCTTTTTTAAATCTATTTTAATGCTTGTTAACTGGCTTATAAGTTGGTTTAATTTTATTCCATTTTAAAACAGCACATTTGTTGATGTAAGGGGTAGTAGGGTATCATTAGATAAGGGTGATCTTTAACTTATCTATAGTTACATGGTTCATTTTGTTGTTAAACTTTTAATTTTGTTGAAGAAGTTAGATATTAAATTTGGTTCAAATCCTTGAGAAAGAGCAACATTTGAGAGGTAGTTAAATTCATCATTAATGTCTTTTTCATTGGAAAAATATCTTCAACACACACCAAATAAAAGTTCTGTATACATGGATTTTCTGAGAATAAGGATTACTGGTAGAGGTATAGATTACTGTGGGGAAATAGGTTCACACTTTCTGGTTACAGATATACTTCTATGAATAGCTTGCCATTTGAGTATTATGTAGCTAAAACATTGAGAAAAGGTATCTGTTCTTCATATTTTAGCTCACAAGTGAATCATATGTCTAGATGAACTGAACTTAATTTTTCATGAAATCTTTAATGTAGTTGTTATCACCAGGGAGTAAGGTGACTATGTCATCAGCATATTGTACACAAGCAAAAGTACCCATCCCCAGTAACAGGAAAAGTTTAAGTTAATCTATCAACATATTTCATGGACTTTAAAAAAGTTAATTGTGTTGAACTCTTGGTTTCAATCACAGCCAAAGCTCTGAGCTACTTATACTGCCCACCACAAAAAGTAATTGTTGAGCATTTCATTCATGCTAAGAGCCACTCAATAATAATATACAGTAAATCTACATTTTTATTCTTTAAGTTACATCACATTTTGAAATGTGAATGATAGTGTGACTAATTTCTAACAATTTAGTGTAGAATATCCTGCTTGCAAAATAAAATTTGGCATCACCATTATTCATACTTGTTCTCTCATCATTTCAAAAGTGAATATTGAGGTTTGCCTGGGTGCATAGATTTTCAAATGGGGGACAGCCAAACACTTGGACAGACATGATGGTTTGCAATATGTATAAGAGAGAGATCAGGTTGAAGAACTTATTTTAAGTCATCATGGAAATGTTACAAATAAAAATGGAATGCAGACTGCCCATGTTCAGGCTGTGATTTTATTGAAAAAAATCCATACTGAACTTGAAATATGAGATGCTGACACATACATCTCTTACAAAAGGCAGGGTAAAAAATTTCATCTGATATTTTAGGACTCCATCTATTGGAACTTTGCGAATAAGCTTTTTATGTTGCAGGACACCATAAGATTTTCTTTTACTTTGTTATTTGTTATCAAACTCTTGAAAGTTTTTTTTTACAATATATTTAAGTCAACTAATGATCAAATCTGTTCACTAAATATCTGACCAAAGGATAGATGGGTCTATTGTTGCAAGCTACAATCAGTCTAAAGTGTAAACCCTAGTTTGGGGAGAATGACATTAGAAGGGATAAGGTTTAATTTCTTTTTTTTTCTGTTAAAATATGTTGTTTTTTTTTATTTCAGCTTTGAGTTGTCTTGAAATGCATTTGTCTGGGTCAGATTTCAGTTTGGATTATGAACTGTCACATAATAGTTTAATGACACCATCACTGGTTCACTGCTAATGGATTTAACTATATATACTGTAAAAAACTCCAAAGAGTTTGTTACTAAGTTAACAAATAAAAAAGTGAAAAAGAATAATACATAAAACCATCACTGAATGTCAATCAAATCCTACCTTCAGAGGCAACACCTCTTTGTTTATTCCAAAGAAAAGGACCATAGATTTTGTCCATGACAAAAGACCTGCAACATCCCCACATACTCGTTTTGCTGTCTCCATATTGTAGTCATCCATTGCTAAATATGGTTCTAAAAGCTCAACCACTTCATCATTGATAGTATCCTTAGGGAAGTTCTGCAGGGCTTGAAGGAAACCAGCACCTGACATAAACTACAAAACATCACAAGACTTGAATCTGTGTGAAAACTAGCAAGTGTTGTTACACGTGTACTCTCCCTCATATTCTCTTAAAATACATTTTATACATTTAATGCTCCTTTTATATACCTAAAAATTATAAAGCTGATAAGAATAATCACTTCCAATAATTTATCAGTATATATATAACTATAAAAAGTATAACTAATTTTGAACAATAAAGCATAACACAAGGTTATTAACAGGACAAAACAATGAAACCTTACCTTCAGTGACTCATCCCATGATGGTTTGACACAAGGTCGCTCTGGGTCTTGCTGGACATGCTGCAGTCTTCTTTGAAACAGAAGAAGAACACAATCCATAACTCGCATGATAAGATGTGGTGGTCTCCCAAGTTTTCGTACAGTGGCTATACAGAATTCAATAATAAGAATTTAGAACAAAATGTTTGACAATTTTTGATATATTGGTATACCAATAAATATGTTGTGTTTTAGCACTTGGTGGAAGGATCTGTTTAAAAAACACACTTACTAAAGGAATAAATTACACATTCATTGTGTGGTAAAAAGTCATTATTGAATATCATATGACCTAAATCTCCAGTATGATAAATGAAGAATTAATTGTACCTTATATCACAATACTTACATATCTTTTGATCTTATTTAACCTACCAATATGAGCAGGCTTAATAGTATTAAGAGCAGCCTCTGCTTCTTCAAGAGCTGGCTTAGCAGCTTCTAACTTTTCTTCTGCTACTGCTTTGTCAACACTGATCTCATTCACAATGACTTGAGCCACGTCTTTGGCCTTCTGAACACTATTTTTTACTTTTTCAGCTGCCTGGGCTCGAATAGTAACTTCTGAGAGAACCTAGCAAGTGGAAAAACTTGTTTATTAGGTAAGAAAAAAAGAGCAGAGCAATAAAATTAAAAATTATTTGTTCTTTAGTTACCAAAACAAATTCATGAAGCTCATTGATAACTATGAGGCAGATTTCTAGCTAGTATTTTACTGTTAGCAAATATAAAAATATTGTGTAACTTAAGTTTATGGTTAGTTAAATAATCACACAAGGCAGACTTTACTAGTATACACTAGATTCATGACTAATGCTTGGGGAGAATTCTTATGTGTTTACTATAACTTTAACAAGAAGAAATTGTGAACACTTTAATAACAATTACTTGCAAAATTTTATTTTGTTTAAAAAAAGCTCTCTCTCTCTCTATATATATATATATATATGTTATAAAATTAATGTTTCATAATTTAATTTATAAAGATAAAAAAGCAACAATGTTACTGGCATCTAATTGACAGTTTCATGGAAAACAAACTTTGTCAGGTTTACTCACCAGATACTTAAGCATATTCCCAAAGGTGAGTTAAAAATGGGAGACAAAAGTTATTCAAAATGTTCAATAAAATGAACATATTAAAAACCCACCTTCTCCGCTTTGTCAGATGCTACTGCTAAATCCTGCTCCATTACAGCTAACTCTTGCTTCAGATTTTCCACTGAAGAAGAAGCTTCTTCAAGTTTAGCCAGACCATGATCCATTCTTCTTGCTAACTCACCAATCTCTTCCTGTTTTTGTTTATAAACAGATTTGTAATTACTTATGAAAGAAAGGTAAGACTTGGGTGTCACATGAGTTGACCTACGAAACCTGCAAGAAAAAAAAAAGAACATAAGAGCACAACAAAAAGGATTGTCCCTCAACAACTGTGCAGTATATCTAATCACTCAAGAGTTATCATGTGGCCTTTATCATAGTTGTGTGACCATAACTAAAGTTTGAATCACTTCTAATTCTAGTAGTATCCTTCATTTAATCCCTGTATACTTGTCTACTATAGTTACTGTGTTACCATTCAGAATCACTGAGAAGAAATGCAAAAGTCTACATAGCATACAATAGGATAATTGATAATCAAAACAAAACCTTTGCCTCTGAATTAATTATCACTAAATAAAAGTATGATATTAAACTATATATTATACACAACCTACATACACTACTTGTTATAATGATGGTGGTTAAATATGAAGCTAGACTAAAATCTGACTGTAAAAGAAATAATTATGTATTTCTAAGTTTCAGATACCAAATTATTTACCTTCAAAAAATAAAAAATGGGTTCATATTTTTTTCTTATATTTTTTGCTACAATAATACTGTTACTATTCACACAATAAAACTGTTGACACTAATATAGAAGTAATCAATTGATATCTTAAAAAATCAACAATTAAAAATTTAACAAAATTAGAGTTCTTTATAAATGCTATTAAAGACACAAATACAATACAAATTATATGTGAAACTGACTCATGAAACCAACAGCTTTATCCATAGTATCATTAAGCTCTGTGTAATGTCCACAAGGACAACATTTTAGGTCTTGTAGTTATGTCTTATGGACAGTGATTAAGATCCTAAGATGTGCTTCTACAGTAATCAAAATAAGTATAAGAGTAAAATGTAAAAGAGTAGAGTTCTTTATAATTAACTAAAAGACACCCACCGCTGGAAATAGTCAACACAACAGGTAGCAACATGATCATGAATGCTTCCCATGGCTTCCACTAGTTGTTGTTTCACTGCTGGTTCACAAATCATATCAAATTCTTCTAGAAAGTGTTTAGCTACAGCTACAAGAGCATCTTTTGGCCAAGGTTGAAACCATACTATTGTACACCCAGAAATTAGACCAGGAAATTTTAGGGCTCGTGTGCGAAATTTTTCTCCGACCTGCAAGTAAAAACATAAAAAAAACAAGATTAATAAATAGTAAGTATGAAGTTCTTAACTTGCATATTTCACATGATTGCATATTCAATCTAGGTTATATTTTTGTAGAAGTGTTAATAAATCCCAATAAAACCTTTTAAATCAATACAACAAGGAAAACCATGCAGCAGTCAAGATGATGTTTTTTCAATTTTTACATAACTTAGTTTCAATGTTTATTTGAAACAAAAAAGTGGTCTTCATTAACAACTGATGGTTAAAATGTATATTAAAGTTTATTAAATTTGGACAAGAGTTGTTCACCAGATTATGAGTGGTAAAATTCTGCATGTGCTGTTCTGTACCTGTAATAGAAGATTCTCAGTGGAGGAGACCAGTAATAACTCATGAATGGAGGTGTCCTTGGAGTAAAGCCTCATTCATCTTTATCTGAAAAGGCTAGCCAAGTTAGTTAGCATCCAGAAAGAATCAAAAGACTCAAAATGACACAAGGATGTGTCCAACAACTTTTGGACAGTGCAATAGGAGCATCAACTAATGTTTAGAAATGGTAAAAAAAATTGTGAGAATTCTGAGGCTTAATAGACAGCAGTATGATGTAAATGAAAATTTATGAATGTATTTTGATTTGTTTACATGCTGGCCTGAACAATATCCTCTAAATTTATGACATTTTCAAAGAACTTGGAGACATTGATGACGAAAGGTCTTTTAATAATGAGAGCAAAAGAGCTGATGGCTTTCACGGTCTCTGAAGGTGGCAGACAAATCAGCTCTGTGTGAATAATGCATTAACTTCAGAAGGTTGCCTGATAAAATTAACAGATAGCCAAAGAAAAGCAGTGGCAAAAATTGGCTAACATTCAAGCCATCTGAAAATATAATCCAACTTCTGAGAAACAAAACTGAAAAACTGCCAGCCATGAAGCCATAGATGTTGAACATCATTGTGAAAGTGGATGTTTGAAGATGCCGTAAATGCTCCTGTGGTGGTAATGGGACTGTTTCTCTATGAAAATGTCAATAAATTACAAATAGGGTAAAACCATGGATGAACTGGTCTAAGTGGAATGATGAGGAAAACCCCGACTTTCAGTAACTGATTTTGGCAAATACTCAGGGTAGAAATAGAGAAAAAGAAGTTCTGCCAAGGTTGACTCAGGGCATCCACTTCTAGAGAATATGAATCCGGAACAGGAGATAAGTAGAGTGGAAAAACATGATTGATCAATGTATTAAAAGCATTGATCATCAGACAACAAGCTTTGAGCATAGTCACCAATAAACTAAAGGGTGCAGAGTCCACTTCTTTGTGAGAAATTCATAAACTAGAGAAGAAAGATTACCCTAGGATATTCATCCCACAGAAATGAGACAGGCTTGAAAATGAACAAGTTGGGAATGAAGTCAAGGAAGTAAAAAAACTGCAAGAATGAATACTATACTAACTGTTGATGTTAGCAACCACCATAGAATTGTCTGTGTGAACTAACACAAAATGGTGCTGTAGGATGAGTAGAAACTCTAGAAAAAGCACACCGAAAGTCCAAAGTTCTGACATACTGATATGAACTGTTGCTTCTAGAAGTCCAAGAACCAGAATTTCGATGATTCCCCAACACAGTGACTCAACCTGTGATGGAGATATCTTTGACTAGATGTAGATCTATAAGATGAGGTAGAAAAGAAGATCCTGTTATCATAAAGTTATAATTTTCCTGTACTGAAAACGTATTTCTGATAGGTACTTACCACCATTCACAAAATTAGTTATTCTTGTTCAGAGCTGCCCTCTATATGCAAACATTTTCTTAATGCATGCCACAAGCCTTGCTGGAATTAGTACATTCCAATGTGTCTCTCATGCATTATCTATTAATCAATACTAGCATAGTATGCTCACGTGATTCATGTGACTTCCTCTGCGCTCCTCTACTGAACCGTCACTTCAAAGTTTTGCAGAAGGTGTGAGCACCAAGAAGTAGGGAGGAAGGGTGGGAAGTATGTTTCAAGTATAGGAAAGTAATAACTTCCAATACATTACTTACCTCCACTCACAAAATTGGCTAGAATCCCACATTGAGAAAGAGGAGGGACTGGTGCAAAGGAATAACAGAAGCACCCCGAAAAGCATCTGGAGGATACCCCTAACTATGAGAGAAAGAGATCCAGAGATCAGAGGAGGGGAACTGCACCATTTTTGAGCCAGGTATAATCTTTGCCCTTGTGTATAATTCTTAAAATACACGGGCAGAAATCACGAGATGTAGAATGGCTAGGACGGGTCAGACCATACTTGGCAAGTCAACTATATCCACAACCTCCTCTACAGGGTATCGACATCCACGCGAGGGTAGGATGGGAATCATACTATCTTCACTTACAACCCAAGAATTATGGATTAAGATCCACTCCAATTCCTGGGTACTACACAAGGATCAACACCCTACAGCAATTTGGGACTGGCCATCCAGCATTGAGAGGATGGGTTCAACTTGTGTGAGGACCTATGTTAATTGGTTCACTTGAATCCAACACCTTAACACTGGGAACTGATGTCCACGTGAAGGTAGAATGAGGGCTCCCAATCAAATGGGTTGAACTGCATGTGTGACGGATCAACTTCATGTGGTATGGAATGTGTAACAGAAGGCCACATCAACCATTAAGGTGATGGATTAACTCAACTGTATGTGTAAATGAATAATAGGAGGCAATGTCAACCAGTTTTGTAATGGATCAATTTCACAGTAATGTAAATAGTATAAGGAGGCCACGCCAGCTTATAAAATGACGGATCAACTCCAATGGTTGTGAATATTGTTGAAGATGTAAATAATATAAGGATGCCATATCACCCTGTGATAATGTAAATACTATCAAGAGGTCACATCCACCAGCAAGGGGACGGATCGACTCCTATGGAGGCCACGTCACATCTACACAAACAGAACACCACCACCCTACTCTTGACTGAATGGTTATAGCCAACTTGTTAGTGGAACCCATTCAGGAGGATGCCTCCATGGTCAACCACCCCAGCAGCTTGGAACAGGAAAGTGGCAAGGACTCGCACACTCTACTTGAAGAAGGGGGGTGAGAATGCATTGGAGATTCTGGAGACAGTGCAATGGGTGACCACGATACCCTGTTTTCAAAAGCATACCATACCGGGTTATTCACTCAAGGCATGGCAGGGATGGGCAGCTATCCCCTTCTGCTTTACCCATGCCGTTCATGGAACAAACATATTTTTGAAGCAACCTTTGAGCAATCTTGTGGAACACCCCTTCTCTACGGTGACCATGCAGAGCCATGAATGAGAGAATGTGAGTCAACATGGCTTACAGTGCAAATTTTAAGTGAAAGAATACCTGGTCTGGCACCACTCGCCACAGAGTGGGATCTGTGTGAAATAGAGGGAAAAAAAGAAAGGTCCCTGAAAAAGAATAAAACTTACCAGTTAAATTGCACCAAAGTCTGGAGCACAGCCACAGGTGGAAGATGAAACCCAGATGCAGAGAAAAGTGTGATGTGATGATAATAATGGGAGACAAACTTACTGGGCATGGTTCATGTGTCAGCTTGGAGAATCTCCTTCAACAGATGATGAAGACAGGAAGTGAGGGAAAATGTAAGATTATGAATTTGATGGGAGGACACAAGGAACAAAGTATGAGAGGAAGAAGGTAAAGAGGAGTAGACCAAACGGACCAGAAGGCAGACCAAATTCATAAAAGATGGTTGCTTGTACCCCACAGGATAGCTGTACATGCAATATAACACCATAGGACCTTGACAGGACACATGAGTCTATTGGGGGCCAGATGAGGGTAAAGATGGGAGACAAAAAGTAGGGGAATAGGAGAAAAGGAGGAACAACCTTCTCATGCCACTGTTGTCTTGAGGAGAAAGGGATGGTCAGGATAAAGGAGAAGAAAGGTAGGATGGCAAATAAATAAGATTGGCAGTGTCCGCAGGCCAAAAGTAAAAGTAAATAGGTCTTAAGGAACAAGGAATACAAGGAAAGTGGTTCAAATGGAGAGACCACATTAATGTCCCAATTCAGAAGGGGAGGACACCTGGGAGGCCTCTGAATTGAGAAGGAATGCATGAGCTTAGTGAGAACAGGGGAATTAAAAACCCTACGGTATCTGGAGAAATGAAAGGTATGGGAAAGAGCTATATCCAGAAATCAAAGAGACCAAACACCCACAGTAGAAGAGCCAGGTGAGAAATTCCACCACCCGAGCCACCAAAATCCATTGTCAGCAAACCAACGGAGGAAGACATTCCACTTGCACTGATGAACTTTTATGGAAGATAGACAAATGGAAGTAGCTAACAGGGAGGCAACTCCACGCATGAAGCTGGACCACCTGCCAATGCCCGAACAAAAGCCAAACGTGAAGACACAGGATGGGGAGATTGGGATGAAGAGTGGGGGGGATCAAGGTTGATGCAGTAGGGAGGGAAACAGTGGGAGAGGGACAGGTGGTGAGATGAGCAGACATTGGAGCCTCTGAAACCAGGTTTGTGCTGGCCAATGGGGTACAATCAGGAGGACCCAACAAGGAGTGGAGTGTACCAGAGAAATTACCCAATGATGCAAATGGATGGGAGGGTACACATAAAGGTATTTGTGAGATCAATCCTAGCTGAAGGCATTGATAGCCAAAACCTGTTTATGCGGGACAGGTGACCAACAGAGGGGCAACTTTGTATGGAGGCCTATGGCAAATGCATCCAATTGGGGAGAACCCCATAGGAGGGAAAGGTCTCTAAAAATAATTGGATCTAATGACCACTCTGTGGGATAGAGTTGGTGTGGACGTGAAAGATGATCCACTTACATATTGAAAGCACCCGTCATATGACATGTGACAAGGTGAATGTGATGTGCCTGGGCCCAGTATAGAAGAGCCAAGGTTTGGAAACAAAGATCTCTGGACCAGGTGCTCCTTTTGTGGTTGATATGAGCCACCACCATAGAATTGTCA